TTTTGTTTCTTTATTGCTTTCTTTATTATTTTTTTAAATCATTTTTATTTAATTTTTTTTCTTTTTGTTTTATATTTAATTTATTTTTTATCTATATCACATTCCACAATATAGATTTAGTTGAGCATATTTGGATTCATTTTGCCAACAACTAAAAAAATATTTTTTTTGTAGTTGTTACTATTTTTTTTTCTTGTGTAATTTTAATTTATGTTATTTTGGTCTTGTAGTGTTTTTTTTTATTTTCATGTATTTAAAATTTATTGTTATAATTTAAAAGTATTAAAATTTATTATTATTGTGGATAGAATATAAAAAATTATATTGAATGAGTGGATAATGGGTCCCACATATGTATTTAAATGATTGAGTATGAATGTGAGTGTGTGTTTAAATGGAGAGAGATTTAATGGAAAAATGATGTGGATGAGAGATAGTATAACTTTTTAATTGAATGAATGAGAAAAATGTTAAACCAATGTGGATGCCCTAATTGCTTGTTTGCGCTCTACTTTATTGTTAGTCTCCGTGTATATAGAGATGTACATAACGCTCACATGGTGTAGGGTGCACTTGATTATTTTTTTTTTTTTGATAGGACCCATTTAATGTGATTGTTGTGTACATTATTATGTACCTATAGTATTTCTCGATAAAAAAATGTGAGCCAAAGGTTTTAAAAGTAAAACAATTATAAGTATATTAGTTTAGATAATTTTTCATTGAAAAAAAAAATATACACTAAACATGGAAAACGAGCATAAAATGTGCAAATATTGCTTGGGCTGATACGGCGGCCAACAAAAGGCTGGTTTTACGGGACAATTCCCAATTAATGATGATCCTAAATTTTCGAGCTCTTTAGCTGCTCTTTGTTATTTGTTTATACAGTTATGAAACTTACGTGGACGTAATTTGAATACCATATGAATAAATATATACAGATACCACCAAGTCAACCATAGGTTTGACTTTAGTGCATAAAATTAGGTAAATTATTTATCATTCTATCAATCCGGAGTGCCATTTTCGAAATTTGTGGGTAAGGGACAAAAATTAGTATTCAAAATGTTACTGGTTTTTGCTTTTGGCATATGGAATTTCTACTTCTTTTCAATGATGAGAGATTTTTGACAGCAATTGGGCAAAGTTTAAGACTACCGATAAACTTTAACACTGGTTTTGACAAAATGCAGGGTATCATATGATCACATTGAAGGTGCCGTTTGATTAATCAAGTCGATAATTTCTGCAAGTGATTTGTTTCGGATCGGCAGTTTCAAAACTGTATATAATTTGTTGAAAACCACCACCAGTAAGCGGCGACAACAGCAATGGTGACCCTTAATTTATTAAGTTGAAATCTTGAGTATAGACGTCAAAAGATACGGTATAAATTATAATACAAATATTAAAACGTAGAGTTTTCACTTGTATTACCATGGAAACATTTTAGTTTAATTTTATACTGAAAATGGATAAATTAGTTTAGCCTGTGATTTGTTTGTGGGTGCGTTGCGGGTTATTGTTAGCTTCTAGGCTGATTTGCGGATCTGTCCTCCCACTAGATTCGGTTCAAGAGCTGTCTTATTCAACTATCGAGATGCTATCAACTATCGAGATGCTATAGAGCTTTGCCAAAAAGAGTGGTTGAATGTTTCATGTCATGTGACTTGTTGGCCCTTCTCTTCCTCTTTCCTAGGGCACACAAGGATTGCAAACATACAATAACCCAACAATTACAAGTTGCTCAAAGAACAAACCTAAGATCCTTAAAATATGTATCTACCTATTATAACCTAAACCTATGTGTGTAAATCTATGTTTTCATTTCATACATAAATTATTGGCTAAATAAAACTCCATTGTATTGACCTTTTATCATGATGTTTTTAGCACATGTGACAGTGGGCCATACACAAAATTAACTTGGGCCTACCAATTGATGACTTGGATGACGACCAATTCACTTTGATTCCAAAATAATGATGATTAACATTAATAATAGATAGATATAGGCTTTGG